TGAATTATATATATATATATATCAAAATTCCAGTCTGTGGAACCCCTCAAAAGCTTTGTCTATGACCTCAGCGTCTGATGTAAATAAATGGTTGGCAATCTAAAACCCAGGGGCCTTTGCAATGCACAGAGTCCAACACTTGGCAGGTACGGGTTGGCTACAGCCATCATACCGTGGATCTGGCACAGGACAGTATCAAATCAGAAAAGGCACTTTGCTTTGGAATTGATGCCCAGCAAGATGACTCCGCCCGGGAACCACCCAAGAAAAAAAACAAGACAGCCAAAAAGGCCGGACATGTTCTTTGCAGTAAACAGTGACTAGCAAGTCTGATGGGGAAGTTGTGTGTAAACTTGTTCTCCTGCACTAGGCATCGCCGGTGACCTTCGGAGCAAAGCTGGATCTCAAAAAGTTAGTGAACAGCACTGCCTTAAAAATTGGATTCCGGGCAAGGCAGGTTGGTCTTCTGTTTTAAACTAGATGACAGCTGTGCCGGTACTAAAATTCATCACAGAACCCTTCAAAGGATTCCAATCAATCTTCATTCTGTTCTTTTTGGCTGACTCTATGCGTACCCAATTCCGCCCCAACTCATTTCCTGAGCGGCAGGCTTGAAGTTGCCAACGGAGTGACCACACTCATGCCACAAAGGCCCATATGCATCCTGACCGGCCAGCTCGATTTGGAGGTTGCACAGGCGGTTCAGGTTATGTAGAAGCATCATGGAGGGATGTCCTGTGAACAAACCATTCGCTATGATGACTTTATACTTCCCACTCTGCCAAGTATATATACAAATCTAAAAATATGCTTTCTTCTCTCCATGCTTGCCTGTGTGAAAGTTTGTGTGCGTTTCTGGTGATATCGAAGGATGTGCTCCAAAATTATTCAAACAAGTCGATGTTGCATTCAACAACAATTACAACTATTAATTATTTGTGACTAGCTTTGGATTTATATAATCCTAAAGATTTCTGAGACATTCTTTCGACATCGGATTTTGGACAGCGAGCTGGAGATCGGCCGGACCGACCGCAGTGCCTCAAAAAAGATGTTCTGTGATACGCCATGGCAAGTTGGCACGCCCCAAGAATGAAACAAAGAATGTTACCTGCTGTGAAGCATGTTTCAAGAATCATAGGCAGGTTCGATGTGCTATATTGCAAGGTTTCAGTCCAAGCTAGAAAGGGTCAATCAAGGGAACCAGCCTTTTGAACGCTCACTATGGGGTCGGACTCTGACATCGAGTTGGTGGATGTGGCAGAATCTGCTCATCACAGAACGCCTGTCAGACCCTGAGCCTGAGATGTGCGATGTTGCACTTCTCAAATTTTGGATTGATATTCAAACATATTCAAACCAAATCAAACCATTCACTAGACACAAAACTCATGTTGTGCTGCCTATTTGCTAGTTCTGTGTGAGGGTTTGAGCCCCCATTGCAAACGTTGCTGGCTTTCAAGGCCTTCAACCTCTCGGATTTCATGCCTGAAACAACCCCACAGTCTCGGGTAAGCAGCACAGCTTTCCCAAGCACTTCCCCACATACTGCTCCCACTGCTCCAGCACGATTCCAGCAAGAACCAGCCGCAGCAGCAAAGTCATCTTCTGCAGTGACATCGGTTTCAGGCCTGACCAAATTTGCCTTGTCTTCTTTTGTTTTATGTTGACTAATGTAGGGCAGTTGTAGGTCATCCAGGTCATCATTGTAGCATAACTGTGGGTCTTGGTAATTGTAATACTTGGGCTGTGTCATTGTAATTGTCTGCGCTGATTTGTTGTGTGTTTCAACACGCATGGTCTGGCACAGGATTGCCACCGAAGTTCAATGCTTCTGGGTCTTCATCAGAAGAACCATTGGGTGTGAATAACTCACAATCGAAAGACAGCAAGCCAAAGCTGGGAGAAAGCGGAACAGGGAGGGAGAAGGGAAAGGGGAGGGGAAGGGGCTCTGGAAGAGGTAAGGGAGATAAAAAGGACAGCAACAAACAACCAAAGAAAAAACATGAAGAAGAAGATGATGATGATGATGACAATGTGGATGGTCCTGAGAGGCTGGGACAAGGTGGTAAAGATGATGATGATGATGATGACTGTGATGCTGATGGCTGTGCAGCGGATGATGCAAAGCCAAAGAAGCGCCCAGCTGGACAAAGTTCGCGTGCGACCAAAAACAAAAAAGGCCGGACCTTATTGAATAAGACAGACTCAACTTGGATGGCTTTTTCGTGAGGCGCCAGGGCCAAGGTGAAGGAGCCCAAGAAGCCTGGACGCAAACCGACCAAGAAAGATGACAACAGCTGCACCACTGATGATTTGAAGGCAGGCTTTCATTTTCTGTGCACCGAACCGCTTCTTTGTGTCTTGTTTCTGTGTTTTGTAGGCTGTGGCCACTCCGCAGAAACATGATCCACTTGCAAGCCTGAAGGTGCCCTGCTGGTATTCTGTAAGTTGTTCCTTGCTGATTAGTTAGCATGTTGATGAGCTCTGATCTGCTGGGGATTGCTTGCATTTGGGTCTGGGATGGGGTTCTACGTTTTCTGGAGGCTCACGTTCGTCGTCGACAATGTGTACACGCCCCTGTTGTGGAGCCTGCCATTGAGCCAGTCAACCCCATCATGGAGCCAAACCCAAAGCAGGATGGCCAGCCAGAGCCGGTCATGGAGCCAAAGCCGGTTGTCGAGCCGTTGAGTGGGTCAAAGCCAGTTGAGCGACCAACACTATGCCCGTTCGAGGCCAGGCGTCTGCACAGGTCCAAGGCCCACTACTTTGAACCGGCTCGTCATGATGCGCCTGAACATGAAAAACACATGATGGCTTTGGATGGTGAAGGTCAACCGACTGATGATGGAGCCTTTTACGATGGGTATGCATCTCTGTTCACGATGGACGATGCTGAACAGCCAGGGGGAGGTGACATGATGGATGATGAGCTGACCAAGGGACATCTTGAGGAAGGCAAGGCTTCTGACCGACTTTTGTCTAAAAGGGAAACTGACATTGTTATATATATTATTTAGTTTAATATGTTATGTGATGAATTGCTAAAACAGGTGATGGCGGTGACACTGCCCCTACTGTGTCATACTCGCCTACGTTGAACCTTGGGTGGTGGGATGAAAAGGCTGGGCCCAAGTTGTGCATTCGTGTTCGTGTGTTGTTTGTTGGCCTGGCAATCACCTTCTTTGGCAACATTGGACGCCACAACAGTTTGACTCTTCAGGAAGAGGACAAGACTTCAGCTTTGGTTCCAGACCAGGAAGAGGACAAGACTTCAGCTTTGGGTCCAAACCAGGAAGAGGACAAGACTTCAGCTTTGGGTCCAGACCAGGTGCGAGTCTCTTTTAACTTGTCAATGCTGTTTGATCAACTGCATCTTGATGACTAGGTGGCACCTTCACCGACTGCTCGTGATCTGTCAAAGGCAGGCATTTTGTCTGTTCTTGTTGTTGGTCTGGGGTGTTCATCCATTTACCTTGCAGGAGTTTGATGAAGCAAAAGCCAAGAAGGACCATTTGCCGACAAGTTCTGCTCCCTCACGTGCTGCTAAGGCGTCTACGGCGAAGGCTAAGGCTGTGATGACAAAGCCTGGAGCCAAACCAAAAGCAAAGGCATCCGCTGCAAAGAGTGCGCCTGTGAAGAAAAAGGAAAAGAAGACTGAGGATTGCTATTATTGCTATTTCTATAACGCAGGTGATTGTAAGGAACATTAAGGAACAATTGGGCCCTTATTGTTCCAGGAGACCGCCATGTGGACGATGGAGAAGTTGAAAAAAACTCTGCACAGTGCTGCGACCTGAGTTTCTTTTCCTGTTTAGCCAAGTTCTCTTCAATTCTGTTGAAATATGTTGAAATTGAGGCCTACTGCTGTGGGTGGAAGGCTTGTCAGCGCAGTGGGAACACAGATCCTGCTGCTATGCGGGAAGCTGGTAATGACTCCCGCCGCCGGTGCTTGGGAGAATTGAGGAAGGCTGGCATTCCTGTGGCTCAGGATTTTATTCTTCCCAACTGAGAATCCAAGTGAGATTCGATGTTCCTGTGGCAATTGGAAATTGCTACATTGATGTTTGAATTTTGGGTGCTTTGCGCGTGTGTACCTGCGCGACCAGGGGCAACACCAGGGGAAAATGTGTCATTGTATGCTCATGCTCTATTTGGCAGTGTTTGACAACTCTTGTCGTTGAAAGCTGTTCATGGTCCATGCATGGTCCAATGTTTTTTTCGCATGGCCAGGTGAGATACCAACACGATGCTTTGAACCTGTTGGAGCGTGAAAGGAAAAATAAGTGCTTGGGGTGGATGGATGTGTGTGTATATCACCTTGGAGAAAACCATGCGACCACACATTGCCACGTGTTTGACCCTCCATGACTCAGCATTTTTAAGCACCCAGTTGCTAACTGGAAAACACCCACTTGCAATTAGAAATGCTTAATTATATTCATAATTATATATAAAATCTAGTATAGTATGTCATCGACGTTGACGGTTGCTTTAATCAGACATCCATGTCGAGATGGTTGGCCATCCAGGTATACATACGGTTCTTATTTGCCACCAAAATACTTCTACCTTCTACCCCTTTCTTGGTCCTTTTGCTAGCACCTTCGGTATCCGAAGCGAGGACCCCAACGGGCAGCCAACAGGTCACATTCATGTTGACCTGTTTGAAGTCACCGAATCGTGCTGCACGTCGACGTGCAGCCCGTTGACGTGCAGCCCGACTTCGTTGTAGGTGTGCCCGTTGGAGCGAAGTCGGGCCCGCTGGAGCTATGAAAACACATGGTCAAGTTTGAGGTCACTGGCCCAAAAGAAACCCAAGGGGACACTTCAAATGGCAGTTGTGTTGAAGGCAACATCTTTCTCATGTTTCATGCTTGCACACATCACCAGACACAGAAAGTGCTCCAGCGGCTTTTTTGGGGGGGCACCGAAGCCCTTCCCCAAAAGAACTCCGAAAAAAGGCTCAGAACCGGCGATAGCGCCTGCGCAGACTTCAGGAGTGGTCTCAGACTTGGTCTTTGGAGGATGGATCGTTGGACTTGGCCTTGGGCTTGGCCTGGGACGGCGATCAGGGACCCATCATCCTGCATCATCGGCTGGGTGCCAAGGGCATCCCGGAGATTGCAGGGCACACTGAGAGGCGGGTGATGGTTCAATGATGTGGATGGGGAGAAGGCACAAGGGCTGCACCAAATGCCAAGGCCGAAGGCGATCCTCCACAACTCACCTTAGTTGTTTCCTATTCACGGGATGAATATATGATGAACCATGATGAACCCCACTCAACGCTCATCAACTACGGCCATCTTCAACATTTCTTCCGGTGGGTTGAAACGACCAACGAACCGTATGACAACGTACCTAGCCGGTAGCCGGGGTACGCAGGTTGCCTCCTCCAGCCCCACCTGCAAAACTAAGAATCCGGCTAGGCACCTGGAGCTGGCCCATGGCATTCGGACCATTCCGCAGCTGTCCGATGGGCAAAAGCTCTCTGCCGTGGTGTGCGTGAGCGCTATCCGATGGTGCGCTGCCGCTTGGCGACATTCATCGAAACTGGCCTTCGATGACATCCGCTGATCATGAAGGTAGGAAATCCCTTCAGGTGTGTAATATGAATTGTTTTGAATTGTCCCTCCCAACGGAAGCATCTCTTGGCTGGGAGGACCTCCGGCTTCTGTTGCATGGCTTCTGTTTGGGGTCGTCTCGGACTAGTAGCACACTCCCTCTACACATTATGACCGTAAGCATTCTGCTTCCTCAAGGCTCAAGAACCAAGGACGGGCTGCAGCTACAAAAATGACTGCTAGCCTACACTTCACCGGGTGTACATGGTGGTCACTTTCCCACCCCCTAGAGACAACGAAACCAAGACTTGCGCCATTCGCACCATGTTTCGCAGGAAGCTCCGCCCTGGCGGCCTCGCGAGATACGCAGGATTGAGGTTTGACGCGGCGCGGGGCTCGCAGCGGGGGTCGCTCGCGCGAACCGGGCAGTGGACCCTGGAGCATCGGTGGAGCATCGGGTGCTCGAGTGGCAGAAGTGACGAAGTGACAGATCCTGACCAATCAGGGGCGGTTAAACCCGCTGGCCATGTGGGGTCATGGTTCTAGGGATCAAACAAGCCAATGACAGATAGATATGAAGTTATGATATCTGATTAGTCATACTCTCACTCTCATGCCCACCAGGGTTAATAGGACCCACCAGCACCACCCAAAGGGTGCTTGTTAGACTCCCTTGACCAATAACATCAATAACTATATACCCATGACGAAAGCGAAAAAACAATGAGCAAGTGTCTAGGCTGAAAAAACGGCGCAACATGTACGGACATCCACAGGCTGGTGCTGGCAGAGATTTTTCAATCGCTTTAACATGCAAGTCGCTCAAAGGTTGTGACTATCCCAACACGGGGGAGAGACGAGACACGGGTTATCGCAACTGCATCGATTGGACAATGGTGGAGAGAGAGGAGAGAGAAAGAGAGATAGAGAGAGAGAGAGGGAGGGAGGGAGGGAGGGAGGGAGGGAGGGGGAGAGAGTGCAAGCAGGGTTCAAAGTGGAGTTTTGCTTCAGTTCATCCAGGACAGACTAGATAGGAAAGTGCCGAACTATTCAAAGCTGGGGAAGATGAGGAAGCAGGCTTCCCGTGTGATGTCCTTGTTGGAACTGACTCATGTGCACCTATAGCTGGTGTAGTCGAACCTCAAAGAAATGCCAGCAGCACGGGAGGCGGAAGTGCCTTGCTGGTCTTGTGAATTTCAAGGAGTGACCAACAAAACCCGGTCCACTGCCCAACCAAAGAAGAACCGTCCACTGTTGCCAACAAAAAGTGTTGGCAGTTGGGCGTTTCGTAATGCAATTCAATGAAGTCGCTGTCAGCCGAGAAAGTCAGCGTCGCGACTCTTTGAGCATCCACGTGCAGCAAGCCTGAGCCTGCTTGGGGGTAGGTAGAAGCCAACGCTGCCCCTTCAATCATGGAGCTCCAAGACGCAGTCCCCGAAGAAGGGGTGGTTCTTCAACCGTTGTTCAATTTTAGCACGTCATTTTCGGCTACCTCCGATGTCTCTAATGTAGCAAGTACTGGTAGGAACTATTTGATCAACCAGGTGGTGTCCATAAATCTTGAACATGTTTGGGCTGGGGCTGACCAAGCAAGGCTCACAGCGGATGCTTTCCAAAAACCGGCCAGATTGAGAAAACGTCCTATACGTGTGGTGGGCGCGTTAGCGCGACGCGAAGCTGCTCACACGCGTGCAGTACGATCAGAACGGCTGACAGAGGTGGCAGCACCGGCCTAAAAACAAACATGGGTGGCAAGTTGATTTGGAATGAATGTGGGAGCCAACAGAGGTTGAAGGACCCTGAAGCCTATCCCATAGGTACCCCAGTAAGGTCCTATAAGGTCACTTAACCTCTCTTGGAGAACTTGGAAACTACTTTTTTACAGTGGACCTTACCTCCAATGACTCCATCAGCCCAATTTGCTGTGTCTTCATGGGCTCTTGAGGCTCCATATCTCAAGAACACGGGGGGTGTTTAGTATTTGCAGTCGCTTCCAGGAATGGGTCCGATCAACTTCATGAGGCATGCGGTCCAAACCAGCCCAGAATTTGAGGCCCAGAATGATCTCTTGAAGTCCAAACATCGCTCTCGACCCAACGACCTGGAAATCACACCATCTAATTGCCTGGTGGCCATTCACGTGCCTCCTTTCCACCAATCCCTGGAAGAGCCTTGAAATCCTTCCTCTATCCACCAGTCCCGGTCCCGGTCGCTCTGCTGGCTCAACTCGCGGGAGACACACTGTCGGCGGCTCGCCATGGCCATGGGCGGCTCTGAACTCCAGGCCGCTGAGAGAAGTTCCATGGGGCGAAGCTCCAGCGGCTTGACCACCGGGTAGAGGGTTCATGCAGGTTTCAATCTGCCCGTCCTGTTAAGGACCCTTTCTTTGGGTCCTTTTGGCGCTTTTGGGGGGTTTCAGTCCTGAGGGCCCCAGACTTTCAGTCCTCAAAAGCCCCACCAGCTTCCGGTGGACTCCTCGCAAGCGTGGCTCAGGCGAACTCGGGGTGGATTCCCTTCAGAGTAGAGCTTGTAAAAGCCTGAAAGCCTGGCTTGCAAGGGCTGCAAGAGCTTGGTAGATGATCTTGAAGAAGATCCGGTAGACCTTTGTAGAGATCTTGGATGTTTTCTGTGTGGGAACATGTGGGAACGCGGTGAGGAATGCAGGTAGTGAAAAGGGACATTAAAGGAACACCAATGAAATCTCAGGTCCTTCTAGACTACAGTACTTGTTGAGTCATTGGAATCCCACCAACTGCTTGGATTCCTAGACTATAGACCCATGAATTCGGACGGAACGTGCCCGATGCCAATGGACTCCACGTCACCCTTGGCCGACGCAGGGGACGTTTCACCAGCGGCCCATGTGGACACAGACGCTCGGTGAAGATAGGGCGACCGAACCGGTCGTCGGTGAAGATGGAATGCACCGGGGCGCCCGGAGTTGGTGACTCCAGGAAGCTGTTGGTGCAGGTTTTGGGGCTTTGGAAGGCGTGTTGGTGCCTTTAATAAAGCTGTTGGCAGGAACACAGTCTAACATTTTTCGAACCATGACTTCCGTTATTTGACCTTTCAATTCATTCTGTGTGTTTACGTTTTTAATCTCCCACTTTTTCTCATATTTTTCACCACTCAGCACCATTCAGCACCTCTTGAGCCTTCGTCATCTCGACACCTGGCCACACCCCCCCGACAGACCACGCAACGCCTGCAGGCGAGATGCCACAAGCTTGGCCCAAACCACGCCCTTCCAGCGGCATGCGGCTGCCGGGCTTCCATCATCAGACCCTGGTTGTGGATTATTTTCGGTGTTGGAGTGGCAAGAAAGGGCGGGGCAATATGTCGTTTTTGTTGAGTTGGAGTGACTGGTTGGTGGCTTACCTTTAGAAGAGCAAGCAGGCGAAGCAGGCATCTTTCTTGCGTTTGTCCAGCGGATCTGTCGCTCGAGGCTTTCCATGCCATGCTTTCTTGGGCTTGTGCACCCCGAAAATTCCAAGGTCGTGATTCTGGGTCCTCCGAGACATTCCGGGATGAGCATCTCTCAATTCACTTGGCTGTCGTGTAAAGAATTAGGGAGACCTATCAGGCGTTCCGACCCCCTGGACCAGTAGAAGGTTCGGAAACTCGACCAGTCTACCCATTGTGCCAGGGTGTCTATACCTGTTACAAAACAAACCCCAGGAGTCGCGTTTCCACCCACTGTTTTTTAGTCCCCATCCAGTGAGTGGATGGGTTGAACCCTATCCTCCAATGGGCGCATTGGCTCCAACCCCGATCGCGCGTGGCCTTCACCTCCACAGCTCCGAGGCCGTGCCGCCCCCGTCGAAGCACTCGACCTCCCGCCGGGCGCCGGGAGCGACGGTGCAGATGGACCCGGCGGAGCGACAGGAATATTGGAGCGCTCTGAAGAGTATGGCGCCGCCCTCCTGTGACATCCGACAGGCGGAAAACGATGAGAGACTGGGGGAAAGGACGGACATAACTCTGAAGAGTGGAAGTTGGAAGTTGGAGCATTTGGGAGCACTCAGAAGCAGGTTCATGGTAAATACTGCACAGAACGTCAGTAGTTAGGAGATCTGGGATGAAAAACAGAAGGTTTGGGGCGCTGCTGAAGCCCTCAACAGAATCCGAAATCGCAGTGAACAAACGGACCTTTCAATCGAAAGTGATAACATGGTCGGGTCATCCACGATACTGTATTCCTACAAATTAATATGCAATATAACAATATATATAGTATAGCCATTGGTACATGACCTTTATCAACATCGTGCTACATCTTGGAAGATTACTTCTGAACTAGCTGAGGGAGGTTTCCAGGAAGAGTGATACTTCATATTCCCGAAGACATGGGGCATGACCTGGAAGATTGCTGTGTTCTACAACCACAACGCTTTCCGCATCGATATTCTTGCCAACCTTTAAAAACACTACGTACATATTACATCATGTTAGTTACTCTTTTTAAAGAGTCAATCATAATATGCATAAAAGACAAACACATGTCTATACACACCTACTGCATCTCTCACACATCAAAGAAAGTTCTTCTGACTTGGTCAGGTGGACCGGAAGCGGCACGAGAAGGCCATCAGCTATCGCTTCTCCAGCGCCAGTCCACGCGAGCGTCCAGGTGCCCCACGCGAGTCCCGGTCGCAGGGCAGCCTGGAATGCCGCTGGTCGAACGGAGCTCCATCCATCCGACGCGAGGACCAGGGTGCGCGCATGCGCGCGCGCGCATGTGGTGTGGCTAGCTGTGGGTGATGTGTGCTGGAGTGGTCCTTCTCCCTTAGCCCCGGGCGATGCTAGTAGCCTCTTGTTCTTAGTAGTAAGGCCAGGAGCTACTAGTAGCGTCCTTGCTCCTAGGACTCCTAGGTTACTAGTAGCTTCTTGTTCCAGGGAAAAATTCTGCTTTCTCACATCTCCACGTTCACATCTCTTCACATGGCCTTTGCTCCAAACAAGCCTTCAGAGGAATACTTCGAAATGGCCCAGCCTTTGGTGCAGTTTTCGCCTGAGTGCTCTTGGCACTATGAAGTGATGGAGCAGCGTAAGGATGCCAGGGAGTACGCGAAGCTTGGAGTACGTGGCGCGAGAGGTTGATTCGTAGGTTTTACATGGCTTTAAATGTAAAATGTATTTGGAGTACATGGCTTTACATGGCTTGGAGTACATGGCTTTGATTCGTAGGTTTACACAAATCGATTCCAGGAATTTTTGAGGAGTTGCGGCATTTGAAGTGCACTTGGCGTGCAGGGAAGTGTAGTTGCAGTATTGAGCATCAGGGGAGAAGACCAGAGGCACTCCGACCTAGCCTTGCCAGGACTTGATTCACCTCTTTTGATCTTTCTTGGCGAAGCTTTGGATCCGTAGATCATGGTCAACACATGTCAACACAAAAAGGGCACCAAAAGGAGTCCGCCCACTCGCCGTGCATCGGACTCCACCACCGCCCCTAAGCTTCCCTCAGGAAGCTGGTGGGTCGTCCCACTTCAGATCGCCCGCGGGTCCACGGAGCTTCGCCGCGCCGTGGACCCGAACGTCCCAGCTCCGCCAAAGCGAGCTCAGCTCGGGTGACGCGGCAGCGTTGGAATCTCCAGGTTGGGTTGCTTCTAGAGCCTAGGTGAAGACTGTTGATTCAATCTCATATGAAGAGGTAGAAGAGCTTTTACAATCCACATGGCGAGGGGTTCCTCAGCCTCCGAATTCCTCACGCTGGTCCCAAAGCCGTGCTGCTCCTCGAAGCCACACGAAGCCTGGTCGTGGTGGAAGCCGTCCATTCATCGACTTCTCCGAAGAAAGCCTTCTCCTTCAAAGCCCAGCGAGGCCGAGAGAAAGGACATCCTATAGGATCCTTATGGGTTGGGGCCGCTAGCATTAAGAGTTCGGAAGCCTGCAGGTGAGGAGTATTTCCAAATATTTTTTGTAATGGATTCTTTATACATTGGATATGATCTGGGTTTACAGTTTTTAGAACCTTTTTATGAAGCCGCAATTGGATTATGCGGTGCTGTTGGGTGCTCACTGTGCCCTTCCGAACCCTTCCTGTGACCATATTGCCGCCCCTGGAAGATCTCAAGGATCCGGTTTTGGGGCTCAGTCCCCTAGAGGCCCGACACCAGACCCACACCCTTGTGCAGAGTGCATTCTTCCCCATAAACAAAACCTGGAGCTCTGGAGCCCCCGTATTTTTGCTGCAAAAGCAAATGTATCAACTTAAATGCATATTGTTGGAGAAGGGTGCAAATTATATAAAAGCCATAAAACACACCGTGTGTTATGTTTTTTGTTTTTAATGTTCTTTTTTAGATACGATTTACACCCTTCTTCAACTTTTCAACCCATATAACACTACCAATCTGCCCAAACCATCAAAACACATTAAACAATGTTTCTGTTTTTTTTAAATGGTTTGCACCCTTCTCCAACAATATGGTTTTAATGTGGATTGTTTTGTGGCCTTTTTCAGGCCCTATGAGGTGAGGCGAATCACGTGCCAGACATACCCAAGTGTGTTGCCTGGGGGCCTAGGGCCCACATATTTCTAAGTTCTGTGACAGGTCTGAGAGCTCCTACATGAGAGTTTCCATGCCCACCGCCAACACATTCTGCTTATTTCAGCCCTGGAATGCAACAAAAACACATAAATTCAAATTTAGCCTGTTTCACAACCATAAAACCATACCTTCAACCTGTAAAAACAATTAAAAAACAAAAACTACTCCTGGAAATGAGCCCTGTGTGGAGTTTTTTATGAAATCCGAACGCTAGCATGCTGGTGGCTGAAAAATCCAAACAACCTGCGGCTCCCCCCAGTCGCGCTGAGGCCAAATCTGCGCAGTCGCCCAACCCTCGGCTCCTGCCACTGGCCCGGCGCTCACCAGTCCCACCGGCGCCGCGCAAAGCGGACGTGGCGGCGTCGCCGATTACGGCGCCGGTGCCGCCGGGCTTCGATCCGCGTGAGAAGATGCTGAGTGACTTGAAAGTGATGGCAGCTTGGCTTGGCAGAAGTCAGGGCCTTTAGGAGCGCAGGATTGCCCAGCTGGAAAAACATGGTGGTTAGTTACAGTATTGTGTATTATTGGATGCTGGAGGCGGGAAGTCGATCAAGATTAGATGGTGCGTTGTGAACACCTGAAGAAATCCACCGTCAGACTAGGCGTTCCACAGGAAGTCTGAGATGGTGATCTAGTGTCCCTGGTCTAGATATTTCATGTTGATGCGGGTTGCGACTGTTTGTGCTGGGAACCGTTGCCATGTTGATGCCAATGGATTGAATCAGACGGAGAAAGGATGAGGTCCTCATGCGGGAAGTTCATTCTTGTTGGCAAGGACTGAAGTGTCGCGACACTAATCCTCCTACAGTAACAACATGTAACAACTTAGGGGTACTTCATTAGGGATTGATGACTTTTTGCGTTTCCTGCGGTCAGATTCCATGTCCGTCCCTCAAACAAGATTGCAGCTGTACCATTCGAGGTGCCATTGAAGGGGTCACCGAATACACCACGTTGGGGCTTTCATTGGGTATTCTTTGAATGGTCCTGGCATACGCATATATTCAATAATTAAGATGTTTTGTTTTGATAGGTTCTCTCAACCCAGTTTTGGAGTCTTGGGTTGGGGATGGTGCAATTCCAGCAGGGCCTTGCCACTTACATCTCACAGACGAGCAAAGTGTCTCGCCGGTGGCCAAGAAGCAAGGATACATAGAGCAGGTGATCCATTTACTGGACAGAGCTTGTAAGCCCCCCGCCAGGATTTGGGCCATTTTGGGCCATTTTGAGGGTGGCGCCTGTTGCAGGTGGATGAGCTGGTGAAGCAGAAAAGCGTTTTAGAAAAGCTGCGAGAGAATCAGATGGAGATCCGGGAGGCGAGGAAAGAGATGCAACTTGGATTCCAACGCCCGCAGTCGGTTCACGCGGCCGAACACTGGAAGACAACGGAAGAGAAACCCCGGATTTCAGACTTGTTGAGTCTGCATGAGTACGTTGGTTTCAGAGTAGATGGCACAATCCCCAAAGGTGATTTATATGGGCCTCCATCTAAAGAAGATCTTGGGGTCTGTGCCATTTACTCTGAAACCACTGTATTGACATTCCATCCTATCATGCTAAATTGGATCTGCCTAGGGGGCCCCAAACTTTCCGAGAGTGCGGCAGGAAGAACCCTTGCAGCACCTGCTGGATGGTTCAAAGAGGTTTTGAACCTCCTGTTTTCAGCAATCGGGCAAGTGTCATAAATGGACGGTCAAGACTCAGGATCTGAAGGTACAATTTCAGTCCGAGGATGTCCGAGGTCACTTGATCTCGGAGTCTTAAGCCACCTACCTTGAACTACATCAAAGTCCAAGTATTTCATGCAAGAACGTTGGACAGTTCGTTCAGTTTCGAAAGGCGACTAGTTTTCCTTTTGACCTTGACTAAGTGGGGTGTGCCAGACTCAGACTGAACATGTGGTTCTTTGTTTTGAACATGTCACATTTTTCACTCCAACTGTAACAGTGTTCATTTACGGCCTTCCATTGTCCCAGAAGGTCTTGCCAGGACCAACCGCTGGAGTCAGCGGTCCGATTTCGCTGAGGAGGACCGGCTCGCCTAGCCGCAGTCCCTATGTCTCGACTGCCACCGGCTCTCCTTTGAGCGAGCCGGGCACCCCGGGGACGTTTGGAAGGTGTTGTTGAGACGATATTTTTTGGAGATACCGGGGTTATATGTTGTTTGGTTGGTGTTTACTATTTTTTAATGGTTCAACCCCTATTTGGGCATGGGTACCCAAGCTGACTATACAGTAGTACAGTAATAATTTTTTGAGAAGGGGTTTTGAACCACCATCCAGTTTTGTTGTCTTATTCTTCTTGGTGGAGGGATTTTGGGTGTCAGTCTAGTTTTCAAGACGTTCTTTCCCGCTCCTGACGGGGTCCGGGGCCGGAACCAGCGGAAAGAACAGGATGGCGCACTCCGGCGCGGAATGCCCGAGCTTCTCACCAGAACAGACCAAATCACAAGAATATATTCCGACTATTATATAGTTTCCAGCAATCTTTTTGGTGTCAATACCGCAGTTCTAAATGTTATGTACCTGTGTGTCCCCCCACTGGCCACGGTAGCACTGCCAGGTGCACGGCCAGACGTGTCATTCGCAGCATTGCCTCAACTGAGGCTACTCATGTCGCCCACTTCGACATTCTCGTGAAACTGCCAGGTGGGGAGCGGTGTGGGCCACGATCGCCACGGCATGTGGGTCGACCGTCTCTTGACCAGTCCGCGCAGTTGGGCGATTTCGTCCGTCGATGGCGCCCACGCTTTCGGAGGTCAACCATGTGGTACACCACTGGTGCAGACGACGAATCAGCCGTGATGAGCAAGTGAGGTGGCAATTTCAGAGCACGTCGCCCAACACCCAAAAATGATGATGGCCAGCGTAACCATCATGACACCACATGTCACCTAGTTTCCTCGTCCATTTTCAGGTACTTTGCTTCTTTTTTTGGGCATGCTGGTATGCATGCAGATTGAACAACTGTTGGAGTCAACATCGGGCATGTTCCTGCATGCTGCGCACTTGCGACACGATGGTGCTGGCCGAAGTACTTTCGCCCTTTCCGACGTTTTGCCGTTCCATTTTTGTTTCAATAAAGACCTACCTGCGATCCCAGGCCGTTTGCTTTGAAATTGCCTCGAGGTTCATAGACCTGAACCGGGCCCAAACTCAGGCGAACTGGCCTTGATCCGGCCCCGACAAGATCATTGGCCCTGGTCCAGGATCGATATGCTGGGCTTCTGGATCGGAGTCCGCTGAAACCAACCAATGGTAGGGTGATTCTTTTACCACACGCCACTCCTTTGGAACCTTGAAGCTCATCTGCCAAATGCGTGACGAAAGGGTTCAGAAGCCAATGGCGAGAGCTAGAGGACTCTGCCATCGAATGATGCGTTTGAGTGATCCTCTTTGTTCAGCGCATGCGGCCCTGGGCAGATTGTGGGACGATTGGTCCTCTGTAGCAAGAGATGAGGGTTGAGTAGTACTGCCAGGCTAGCGGCTAGCAGTTTGAGGGCCCAGCTTGCGATCCAATGACACTCGACACGTCCTTTCTTTTGTCTCCAGCCAGGATGGGATTTTTGATCGCTTGCGACCCAGCGCCACCGCGGCACCTTAGGGTATAGAAGCATACTTTATTTATATAGATGTATTTTTGGCTTTATAGCAAATTTTCTTTTTTGTTGTTTCTAATTGTATTCGTAATACATTTTAATACATGGGCTTCATTGCAACAATGCAATACTGTAGTATATTAAACATGTTTCATATCTTCTATAAGAAATGAAACTCTCATTGTATAGCATTCAAACATAGAATATAATATGACCTCCAAACATATGAAGTTTAGACTTATTTGACTTAAACCATACTATAACAACAGATGCAACATATGAAGTACCTCAAATGCTCTTTCTAGGTAAGGGCCAGCCCAAAAAGAAACGGAGGCCAAGAGCCTCATGAGTCTCATGAGTCCATTCCCATTTTTTGCTCTGATTTCTTGGATCAATGCTTCCATCCGTTGAGCCGAACTCTTCCTGGTGGCCCGACCAACGCCAAGGACCGCTTCAGCCGCCCCGAATCACACGACCTGCTTCCGAACGGCGTTCCGTGGAAGCGGAGCCGAGCGGATGACACCGAGCATGGAGCCTCGCGCGACCTCGCTGCAATGCCCAGAAACAGTTGGCTTCGAACGATTTTGGACCCTGCAGGATCTCGTGTGGTTATCGGTCGGGGTGTTATATATTTTGGCTCCCCCCCCCCCGCAGATGATGCTTCCCTGTAGCCATATCATAGATCATCACCATAGTAAGAAATTTCTCAGCCTGGATGCCAAACTGCACCCAACACCCCACATGCGAGCCGCAGTCAAGCGATCTTGTCGAGCGATCTTGCTGTAAACATCTATCAACTCTATTGACATGAACCTCGCAAGCTTGCAAAGCAAATGGAGCACGATCCTGTTCATCAATCTAAAGGGTCACGTTCCCCTTGCCCAAGTTGATGCCCTAAGTGGCCCAATGGTATTGTGGTGGAATTTGGTGGACTCCAAAACGTTCTACACAGTCCCTCAGAGGCCTGGCATCTATATAACATCGAAATGTTGGTGGATTCCCACTTGAAGATGTTACAGAGTGTTGGCAAGTTGGCAAGAAGATATATATTCCTTGTATTTCCATCAGCGCGAGCTGCTGTCATCTCCAACTCACATAGCGACTCGACGGTGCGAAAGAGAAGATAAGCGTGGCTGGGCGCTGAAGGGTCGGGAGGAGATCGGAGATCGGGCACAAGAGAAACCATAAGCACTGTTCCTGTCAGGGTCTCCAGTCGAGTGACTACCTTATTATATATATATACTTATATATATATATATACTGTAACTACTTGCGGATCTCCATTGAGCACCCCTTTCAAGGTCCAGGTGCCAAAACCACTTTACGGCCGAGTAAGTGGTTGGAGACTCGCCAGGCGTATGGAGTGATCGGGTGTGGCGTATGAGTCGCATGATGCCTCAGCTGGGAATTCTTACACCACCAGCTGCGGTTGATCGCCATCAGGGTGTGTGCTTCTTTGTGGTTCTTTCTGCAAGCTTCCACCGCCCGCTTCCCTGTTCAAGCCTTCTGGCACCGACAGCATGACCAGATCATGAATTCTTTGCAGCAGGACTTGACATCCACATCACTGCATCCGACATGTGGTGGATGTCAGATATTGTGCAACATCATTGCCACACATATTATAATATATGTAATGTTCCTGAACCCCAGGTAGTGCAGGCATTCTTCCTTCAACAGTGGCCAGAACTGGATGTCCTGTTTCGCCGCGGTGATCTCTGAATGCCCCGCATCCTAACATATCCCAACACAAGGTCCACACAGACGCAGACGACGCGACCGGTGCCGGTTTCCGTGCCATGCGTGGCGGTCCGCTTTACGTTCTTGCTGCATCTGAAGCTGGGACGGCAGGGGTGAGGATCCAACGGCGCCACCCAAAGATGCCTGAGCTGGCCAGACAGTGAATACAGGTTTCCTCCAAGCCCTGGTTGGTCCGGGAAGCTGGCGATCCAAAGAAGAAGGGTCTCTGAAAAAGAAGTTTCGAAGGTGTTTGGGGGAAAAGGGTGACAGGGGGTCCAACATGGTCTAACTACATTCTACAGATACAGTTGAAGCTGCGAATGTGGTGTGGATTAGTCTGGTCCTGTGTGTGAGTGTGTGTGTGTGCGCCTTTCTTTACATATCCAGCATTGGAGCAACCGCCTTGACTATTCTCGACTGCACTCTCGTTGCCATTTCTCTTCCTGTTTTTCACGCAGTGCAATTCGGAAACCCACCAGGAGTTCGCACTCCCGAACTCAGATCGAGGAAGTTGACATCAACAAGTCTGACACATTTGCAGGGTATCGGACCGGATGTGTGATTTCTTGTGGATTGAGTGTCATTTTTCAGATGGACCCCCATGAAAAGAGTCATCGACTGGGGTGCCATCAACGTGAAACCATAAACCTGAAACCACTGAGATCGAACCTGGACCTTCAAAGGTGTGCAAAAAAAGGAGGTTCACAGCGCAAGTGTGTGGTGTAGTCTATTGCAGACCCGGCGCGTTCTTCCTATCCGAATTTCCTCGTCCGGACTGCGCCGACTTCAGGCGCTATGGCCACTTCACACGGGACAGGCGCAGAAAGCCTTTCCTTTCGAGGCGACTGGATGGGACTCGGTGGGATGCTGAGAGGTGTTTCACGCGCCCAGGATGGCACGGGTCCTTGTCGATCCTTGCGTTGACCTTGTAGGTGCTTCTTCTTGGATTTTGTTGGGGGTTTTGTTGAATTTTTGTAGGTGCGTTTGGGGGTGCAATCTTTTGGCTCTTTTTTTGGTGGATGTAAACTGGTGATGTGCAGGTCTCGGCGCGGTCGCTTGGGCTCCACAGGTCTCGGCAGACTACGATCTCTTCAACCAAGGAAGCGCTGTGAAATACTTCGAGGTGGGGAAGAAGACCATCAAAGATTTTCGCTGGGCAGGGTATAGCGATTTTGCGATTTGGACCGGGTGGCATATGAGTAGCGAACGATTCAGACACGGGTACACTCTTGGATTTTGGGGAGGCCATGGGCCCATTGCAACCACACGCGTATCTTCTTGCCTCCATTCCAAAAAATGTATCTTTCTTTCTTTCGGATACGCCGAGGACGATTCGTCCGTGGCAGACATTGCTGCGTTAATTCCTAATTAAATCAGAAGTCGTTCCGCTCAACTCGACGAAAATCAGGCCCGCGAGGTGCCGATTCGTCAAATCCAGCTCTCAGAGCTTGGACCGCAGACGTAAACCACGGGGGTAATGGTTCACCATGTGTCGGTGGCTGCTGAGCGGAAACAAACCCAAGGCTATAGCCTTGCAAAGGTCAGGAGGATATTCCTTAAGCTTATTGGTCTTCCACTCTCCAGTGGCCTCACGGCCAATACTACTGCCTTTCGGTAGGCGAGTCGTACGGTGTTGAACGAGCGTTTGCTCAAGCTCAGCACAGTGTGCTACCAGAAAAGTGGTCGGTTTAGAAGAGTGTCCTCCAAAATGACCTTGAAGTAGAGTCCGCAGGTGGCACTGCGGAAACTTCAGAAAGAATTTGACAATGGGCAAACGCCAGATTGAGGCGTACTCCGGCATATCATGCGGTTCAGAAGGGTGTTCTATCACTGCAGTCGCACCAAAAATCAGTGCTGTGCAGAACAACCTCAGCGCAACCCCCAGCAGTTTAGTGCCGATGAGCACTTGCTCACTTTCTTTCTTCGTCAAACAGCACAAGCCGTAAGGCCGTACCCTACTTCGTACAGGTCTCACATGGTAGAACTCTGACAGCACGGCCCTCGCTCTCGTCCATGTCTCGCATGGCGGGCCGGCTAAAAATCCGCGAAGGATTCTCTGTCGGATGGCTTTGTCGAACATCGAAAACGTCTCTGGGTTGAGTAAATCACCCCATTTGACGTCGCAGATTATGTCTATCGAGATTGCGGTTGCTCCAAGATTCCCAAGATTCTCCAAATGTTGTTGAACGTCTCCTGCTCTTCTCGTCCCCGCAAAAAGATGCGCGAAGACACAGGGCCTATACTTTACTGTCCCTGGAACTGACAGGCAGACTTGTTGTAGACCTTGCGCCTCATGGAAGAAAAATTCCTCAGCCTTTGCATGGTGAGGCGGTGTTTGTACTGCATCGTGCAGAAACCACTCCCCAGAGGCGTTAAGCAAGAAAGTATCTCCCACATGCAAACAAGCAAGGCAAACTGCTTCATCCGCCGGTGAGTGTTGCCACCAGAGGGCAAATTCCGCCTTGATTTCATCTGGAAAGAGGTGAGTCTGACAGGTCGCCCTACGCAAGCTTTCAAGAAGCTCAGCAGCACCCGTAGTGCTTTGCAATGCTTCAGTCCAAAACGCACGAAGTTCTTCTCTCTCCGGGTCAGTCCCAACGACAGGTAGGGGAGTATCACAGCGTGGACCTTCAGCCTGCATGTACGGAATGGTCAGAACCTTTTCTTGCCGCTTCGCCGCACGACTGTTCACACCTGGTTGAGCAACAACATGGTGTCCGCGATGTCGGTAGAAATTGAAGCAAGAGATGTTGTTGTTAACATTATTCAGCAAACTAATGCAAACTAGTATGTCGATCAAAGTTTGTCAAAAACATCTCACATTGTTCATCCACCACGAAATTTCGCACATTGCGCACTCGTTGGTGAACTTTGAAGGAATGTACTGCGAGATCAGATCTTCGGGCAAAATTTCTTTTGCACTTCAAGCAGAATTGTGGCAAGTTCGATGCCGCCGTCTGAAAGGAGCTACGATAGCCGCCATGCAATAGTACGCATGATCTCGCCATGCCACCAATACCACTCATATTCGAGCCGAAGTGATGAGACATGACGTCTCAAGGCTGTCCTTATCCAGTTCTCCAACGTGTTGGGTGTTCCCCAAGAGTCTGAACGAAGGTCTCCCAAGAATCCCTAAAGGAGTCTAGGAGAAACTTTTCAGGACAAAGCTGCTCAAACCAAAGGACATCGTTCTGTAATTGTTCGTACCACTGTGGATTTCTTTGGAGCATAGCCCACATGTGTGGTTGTTCCACTTAGCTGGCGTGTTGGGGTGTCCCTCTGTTCCTTGGCCAAGACCACTACCCGGCCGAGAAGAACACCGCCAACGGCAGGGGGTATCGCGTGACCCATTTCGCCCTTTCACGCGGGGGCACTTGTCCCCAGTGAACGGGACCTTGTCCTATGCCCTATGCCCTATTGACCGGTGAGATGCTCCACCCAGTGGCAAGTCACCCACAGCCGGTCCCCTCAAGACTCACTGGTGCCCCATCGCTACCGGGAGACGAGTGATTTCTGTGACCATGTGTGCAACGGACGAGAATGATGATGAGCATGTTTCGGGAGCAGGATGTGAGTGGGATATAGTCTGATATAGTGAGATGATGTAATTTGATGTGATCTGATTGGTCCCCCAGTGCTTTTTGATGCTTTTTGATCTTTTTGTACAGTCTAGTAGATCTAGCTGGTGTTTTGGATGTTCAGGTGCACCTCCAAGAATACCTTGTCCTAGGACCTCTTCTATGAGCCCAGCGGTAGTCAGCTGAAGCCCTCCTTGAACGAGACGCAGATGGAGGAAGTGGAGCTGCTGAGCCACTCGCACGCAACGGGGCCATCACGGGGGCTGGTGAGGATGAGAAAAGCCGAGAAAAGCTGAGAAGACTTCGAGAAGAACGGAATCAGATCCTCCCAGATCCTCCCAGATCTCTAACAAAATCTCAGCAAAACTTGTGTTCCACTTCAGATCCTCCCAGATCTCAGCACTGTGCACTCCGAATGAACCAGAGACCAACACCGAACATGGCGGGCGTCGACAGCCCCATGAGGTCGGACGTTTGAACCATCGGGTCGCCGGTGGGTGGAGGTTCTTCCACCGGAGTGGAATGCTGTTGAACGAAACCACTTGCATGAAACATATTGACAACCTGTGAATGGTGATGGCAAATGCTCGTGTTGAAACATGAGTTGAAACAGTTGAAACATGTTGAAACTCATTTGGTGGATGCAACCAGTGGAAATTTGAAGCTTCAGATGTGACCGTCTGACCTGATGCGCACATGTTCAGCTCACACGCTCAGAATCGGCGCTAGCTAGCCGCTGTGGGCAGCCGTTGGATGCCCATGGTCCCACTCGACCCCCAAAAAGTAAGGGCTCCCTATTTTTTCAACCCCCTCACCCTATTTTTCCAACCCCCCCTATTTTTTCAACCCCTCCGCCCTATTTTTCCAACCCCCGTTGAAAACCTATTTTTCCAACCCCCCAGACCATATTTTTCCAACCCCCCGGCCTTTTTTTTCAACCCCCTAACCAATTTTTTCAACCCCCGAACCAATTT